GAACGTGAGATTTGCGGAGCCGCGGACAGACGCCCGGCCTGCTCCCGTCGCTCCTTGTCCCTGCACGGCGGAATCTCCCTGGCCAGCGCTAAGGGCGGGTGGCAGAGATTTGGGTGCTTCCCGGGAAGAGGCGGGAAAGTGAGTGGTTTGGGGCAGGGACAGGAGTGCCCAGACACCAGCGGGTTAGCGTCCGCTTTCCTTTTCCTTCGGCCCCGGCTGTGGAGTCCTCGCCTGCCTTCCGAGGCTGCAGTTAGATACGGACTGTTCCCAGCGACAAATAAGAATAACTCTTTACCCAGAAGGAGCCAGGGGAGATGGGGCTGCAAGGGGCGAAAGGATCCCTCCAACACTCAGATCTCAATGGAAGGGTCCAGATCAACGTCCATGAACTGAGTGGCATCTCCCAGGAAACTTTTCCAGCTCAGGGGAGCCTGATTAGGAATCAAAGGACTGTTTGGGGAGCTCGGCCCTTTGGTTAATTCACAAAATTGCACCGGCCACTGGCAGGCGAGCCCTGTTATGTGGAAGGGAAACATCAGCCGTCTCTGGGCCGGTGGATGAGCATCAAGGATGATGCGGGCACTGACCACAGTTCCTCGTTAATAACATCCCACCAGCTCTGCAGGCTCGTTTTGGGGGACGGGGTCTCTAGGAGTGAAGAAGTGGTCCCAGAGTCAGCTCTCTAGACGCCAATCTCCAACAAAGGGAAACTATTTCTAAGACTTTGTCTCTCTGTGTTAACTCATCCCTTTTCTGTCCTCTGACGCCTGGCATCTTGTGTAGTGGGAGATTTCTTCTCTCTTTTCATCTTAGCTGTTCAGCAGTAGGACCTTTTTGATTATTAGTAAGATGCTCTGGGAAGACACTGTGTAGTAGGAGGGTGGTGTATTGTGCCAAAACAGATCTCTAGAACTAAATATTAAGAGCCCGCCTGGCTCAACCTCAGTGCCTTCCCTGTTTAATTAAGTAGTCTTCCATGTAAGAAAATATATGAAGGCATTTCTTGCTCCCTTCGGGCCCTTCTGGATTTACCCCTGCTTATACAGGCCCGGGCAGAAAACATCTGTGAAAGAGATGGATGGTGGCAGTCTTTCAAATCCTGTATCCAACTCACTCCTTGTTCTCATGGCCAGATAGAGAAGGGAGAGGTTAAGACAACAACAGAAATCCCCAAATTAAGTGTGTTTATCTCACCTTTGTCCTACACGAGAACGGCCGAATGATTTGACATTAAATATGGAGCAGACGTGATGTGCAGTATTTTTTAAAAATGCTATATTTGTGCACTGTGGGTAATGAGGAAAAGATTGGTCAGGGGAACTCGTATTGAGATGAAAGAATTGAGAACATTTGAAAAGCTTGGAAACAAATACAGAAAGACCTGTAACCCATTCTCATTTCAGAGCAGTCGCCGAGGAGCAGGTGACGTTGTCAGAAGCCCTGGTCTTTCCTTCCTTCAGTCTCTCCTTCCAGATGCATTTGCTGAGTACTTGCTGGATAGACCTCACGTGCCAGGCTCTCTGAGGAGGTATAAAGGCCTTCAGGGTCTGGGAGCTGGCCTTTACCAGGCTGGCTCCTATTGAGGACTTTGATTAGTAAGTTGTTCACGTGGTTTGGTGAGATTTCCTTGCCTCTTCTGATGTCTTTAAAGTGCCTCATAAAGGGAAGTTTCTTAAGTATCCTCAGGCTGGTCTCCTTTGTTAGCGGCTCTACAAAGTTGAAACTGTTTCCTTGAAACATACATTGCTGCCCAAACGATGTGGCTCAGTGAGAAAATTTGAGGTTGACCTATGAGCTAGGAGGTCATGATTCAACTCCGGGTCAGGGCACACGCCTGGGTTGCGGTCTCAATCCCAGTGTGGAGCATGCAGGAGGCAGCCAATCGATGATTCTCATCATTGATCTCTCTCTCTCTCTCTCTCTCTCACTCTCTCTCTCTCTCCCTTCCTCTCTGAAATCAATAAAAATATATTTAAAAATAATAAAAGCACCCCCCCCCCAAAAAAAACCATACATTACTGAGAAGGAAGCAAAAATAGCAATAGAGTGATATGCTTTCAATGTATGTATCTTCAGTTCAACTCTGTTTTTTCCAGATTGTTTGCGGAATGGGTAGTATGGTAAACTGACCATCGTGGTTACCGATTATTTGGTGATACTGTTATAGTCAACAACATGTTGATTACCAATTTTTAAAGTATTAGAAGCAATAGTGACATCTGATGTTTGTTTAGCACTCCACATTCAAAGCTCATTCGTGTATAGCACATTTGATTCTTTCAATAACTGAAGCAGGTCCAATGAAAATGGGCTTTAAGAATCAGTGATATAGACTATGATGTCATCTTTCCAGGAAAATTCCAAGACTTGGCAGAACTGTGGGCTTATCACCTGGAAATGTCAGTTATCACTGAAGAGTCTGCTAGGCATATCTGGTGGAGATTACCGGCTTTCTCTCAAGCCTTTGGCACACACACTGCCTTTTGGAATATTCTTAATATCATCCTGTGTGCTTGGCCTTTGCAAAGCATACTCAAGCACCGTCTGGTTATCTGAGGGTTCTCGTTTGGAATTGGGGTGATTAGCATCCGGTGTCTGTAAAAGTCAGCAGTGCACTCGGGTCGTTCCCATGCCCTGAGAGGCATGTTCTTGCAAAGCGAAGTCTAATTTGATAGTTGAGCATCGTTGTTGTCACTTTTTTCTTTTTTTCCCCCCTGAGTCCTCTGATACGGCAAGAATTATGGTTTTAGGTCCCTGACCCAAATTGGAAAGAGATTATAAGTAGTTGGTGGCAGACAGGCTAATGTCCATTATTGACTGAGTTATAGCGGAGCACCCAGATGCTGTAGAGGGGGGCATTTCAGAAATACCTTCTTGGGGTGGAAGACACTAAGTCACCATGTATGTCAGGGACCCAGAGGCTATCTGTCTTCTGATCAGCTCCCAGAAGCAAGGGGTCGGGGCGAAAGCCAACGAGGGCTTGGGTTGCAGGCTGACTTAGAAAGCAAATGAGACAGAAAACTGCTGACAAGGGAAAAACCCTGGCAAGGGAGACCTCTGGACTTATTATTTCAAGCAAACAAAAGCAAAACAGAACGACTGCCTCCTCCCTCCTGTCCTCGGGACTGAGGTTGAGGTCAGCTGGAGGAAGAGCCCAGGGAGCGGACTTATTGCGAAGGGGGTGGAGGGCATGGGTCTTGGGGGCCCACGGGGGTTTGCATATTGCACGCCTCGGGCTCGGCTCCAGCTTTCATTTCTCATTTTCTCATTTTCAGGAATATAACCATCAGCCTCCTTGGGTAACATAGCTATTAGCGGGACCGGGAGAAAGCCATTTCATGTTGACTAAGACAGCCTCTTGCGAGTGATTCAAAGCTTAATCCTCAAGAAATAATTGCCAAATCCAAATGAAGCTTGTAATGTGGAAAAGCCGGGTTGTTCAAAACCAAGAGACCAGGTCCGTGTCTCACTCTCATGGCCACTTCTCATCCTCTTTCATGCCCTGGGAGTAGGTGCTGTCTCCTCAGGTCAGATTGAAGGGAATTGTCAGACAAGGAAAAGTCCTGAAGAGAGCGTGCTTCGGCTGCAGGAACAAGTAATATGGAAGCAAAGTGTGAGATTTCTGGGTCAGTGTGCCATAAATCCTGCAGATCCAGGATTGCAAAGCCTTCTCACACTTTGATGCACAACACAGGTTGAATTCAATTAAAATCTCCCCTCCTTCTTCCCCCCTCCACCCCCATGGCTGTATCATGCAATACCCAGTGTCTGGTTTTCCCCCTGTTAAAGGCAAACGAAATTGTTTTCCATACTGATTTTGATCCCCTGGGAACTGGCTTGCCTCTCGGAATGAGCTGACTCTACTCTTCATTTCAATCACCTGCTATAATATTTTAATCAAATAAGACAGGGATTTTTTTTAATCCTGATTTCCGGGCCTCATCCTCTGGAATTTCTGTTTCTTTGTTATGGGGTGGGGCCACAACATTAGTAACAAAGAAACAGAATTTCCGGAGGATGAGGCCCAGAAATCAGGATTTTAAAAAGATTCCCAGGTGATTCTAATGTGCAGCCAAGGTTGAGAACCACCGCTTTAAAATCTTCTAGCCATAGGCGGCAGAAGAGTCATTCTGGAGATAACATTTTAGTTTGGTTTGCATTTTAAGAACTTGTCCTGGAAGTCTGCAAAAATCTACCCAATGCCACAACTGCGCCTTGCTGGCAGCCTTCTCTTCCGTGCCCTTAACAGCTTGTAGGGGGCGAGCAGGATGCTTCAGAGCAAGGGTTTTAGAATCCAGATTAAGGCAAATCTCTTTATTTACCAGGATCCTGCGCTTGCTCTCTCCTCCCTCTGCCGGCCCCTCACCCCTCCACCACAATACCAAGCGCCAAGTCCTTGGAATGAATTAATTAAAGGAGTGTTTAAAAATATCTCCCGGCT